ATCCACAGGCCCACTCCACCGTCTCATTGCCTTTCGCCACTGACGCCCGTGCCTCCTTGAGCGTGGTGAGTAGTTTCTGGCCTCTCTATGTGGAAGGGGGGACACCCCGCTCCCGTCTCGACGATCTCTTGGTGGAAATCATCACGCCGGGGCTCGACGCGTCCTTCGACTGCCAGGGCGACGTCTTCCGCCTGCCCGTCAGTGGCTGCGCTGTGCCCGACCCCCTTCCCCGAGTCTCCCTGCTCCACAACCTGGTTGTCCAGAGGGGACTGGCGGTCAACGGCGACGTGGGCTTCAATCGCTGGCTCCTGAACAACACGGTGGCCTTGGTCTGCGCCGCCAGCATGGATCCTTTCGCTCAGCCACCCCCCAAACCACCGGCCTATCGGTTCTCGCGCTACTTCGACCCCGTGTCAGGGACGGCCTTTGGGGAAAAGCAGGACATGTTCGGGAAAGAGTCCACGCTGGCAGCAGCCTTGGTTTGGATCTTGCTGCATGCGGACGCGCCAAACAGGGCAGAAACGCCTCCCATAAGCCACGACGTGACGTTCGCGCTGGTGGTTGTGGAACTTATCATTGCTTTTGCCACGGGGGTGGGCTGTTTCGTATTTTCATTAAGCCTGTTCCGCGAGCTCTCACGGGCGGACAAGGAAGGAATAGGCTCCGTATCGTCCATGTTGAATGTGCGTGATGACGTTGAAGACGACGGGCAAGGGCCGCGGCAGGGGAGGCGCGAAGGGGTTGTGCGGGATAGCCAACGTAGGAAGGCGCTTTACGGCTCGAAGGATGATCACGACACGGAGGAGGAGGAGGAGGAGGAAAGCAAAGGTCTTGGGCTCGCAGTGGATGGGAGCGAGCACGGGGAAAACGATCATCAAAGGACGGCGACGCGCAGAAAGAAAGGAGCTTACTACGGGCCATCCACCGCGCCAGTCCCGGGTCGGGCACCTAATCGGGGTCTTTACCAAACGTTCCGCTCATTTCCACGTATGCAAGCGCTTGAGAACGACGACAATAGTACAATTCACGGGACCGAGCTACGGCGCGTCGAAAGCGAGGGGGACGGTATGAATGGCGGCGGGGAAAGCGGGCGCGGGGGGGGGATCGTCTCCGCCCTGGGGACCGCAGCTGGTTCAGGCCTGCGAAATCTTGGCTCTGCTGTGAAGAGTGGCGTGTCTTTCTTGAAATTCTGGTGACAACATATATCGTAGTATAAGTAATGTATAAAATGGACATGTTCTATAAAATTATAAATGCCCGGGGATCGGAAATGGCCCAAAACAAAAGATCTTTTCACTACGTGGGCCATGCGCGCACTTTGGAAAGCTTTCACACCCTCCAAACTCGTTTAAAACTAAGTTGTTGCCATTTTAAAATTGGTCATTCTTTTTCTTCGGATTTGGCAGAGAAGATGAGGTGTATTCTACATTGTCGACTTGCCTGCCAGCTAGGTTTTGGGGGGTGGGGAGGTTAGCTTTCCACATATCGAACGCTTTTTTTTATTGTTTTGAACGATTGAACCCTGCCAAACACACGCTGGCTTTATGGGAGGAATGACGTGGGAGTAGAAAGCCAGTTACTGACTGATCGATCACAAAGATAAGTCATTTGTCTTTACATTCTCCTTTGCTTATGAAGCCCTACTCGATTACAAATACATCGCAGGTGCCCTCATGAGACCGACAACCCGTCTCTTCATTCCGTTTCTGCTTTCACTTGTCTCGCTGCCAAGCACGATATCATTTATTGGTCGTACTGCCTGTTCTTCGAAGTCGCAGCGAGCCCTGCGGAGAAGAGAGGGCTCTCCCAAGGCCGTCGCTTTCAAGCCTCAGAAGGGTCTCGCGCATGACTTTTGCCTCGCAATTTTAGGGGATCTTCACTTGGACCCGACAGACATGAAGCTTCATAATGAAGGACGCAAGCATATCATAGATGTTATGGGGGGGATGAAAAAGTCGCTTTCCTCGAGCAAGTCGCAAGCTCACCTCATCAGTCTCGGGGACCTAGGCGCATACGGCGAGGCAGGCACCACGGCTTGCTTCGAGCACGCAAAAGCTTACCTTGACGGCTTTCAATTGCCTTACAACCTCGTCACTGGGTAAGAAATCTTCTTCGGTGCATTTTTAAATATTGAGGGCAACGCCACTCACAGGCGCCTCGCATTCCACTTCTTTTCCCGCCTCAGGAATCATGATTTGGAGGGCATGGACGAGTTTGCCACGGATGTGGAAAATCTGCAAGCCTGGAAGAAAGTCTTTGGTCTTAATGCACCAACCTTCTGCCATCAAATAGGAGACAAGACTCTATGTGTGGGTCTGAGCACGACCCGTTTCCGCTCCTCGCCCTTCTCCTCGCACGAAGTTTACATCCCGAAGGAGCAGACCATCTGGCTCGAAAATTTGCTTAAGCAACACCCCGAGGAAGAAGGGTGGCGGGTGCTCGTGTTCAGTCACGCCCCGCCCATGGGAGCAGGCATCCGGGTGGTCCAGAATGTGCACATCAAGAATGGTTGCGCCTTTTTGAATCATTCGAGCGGCGACGAGGAACGACGTGTCTTCATCCGCCTCTGCAAACAGTATCACTGCATCAAGGCCTGGTTTTCGGGGCATTTCCACCTGTCCCACGACTACGAGGACTCCATTACGGCTAAGGAAGGCACTGTCTTTGTGCAAACGGGGGTCATGGGCGAGAAGTCGACGAGGGACGGTCGGCGCCAGAGCCGAGTCGTGCGAGGAGATGGGGCGGGCCTGCATGTGTACACTGTCAACCACCACAAGGGCGGGGAGCTGCGCCTGGACGTTTCCATCCGTTACAAGCCAGGCGGAGAGGACCTGGTGGAGGCGCACGGGCACGAGGACTACGCGCATGACAAGTGGTTCTCGGCGTACCGACCCCAGGAGGAGGACGGGTGTTATCTGCAAAGTCCCGACGGGATTATTTTGGAGGCGAGCGACCGCGGGGGGGGTGAAAAGGTGTGCTGGTGGCACATGGCGGACGGGCGCGTGCTGGGGGTGCATGAGGGGCAAGTGATCGAGTATGACGCCGAGACGCTCTCCCCGCTGGGAATCGTGGTGGATAGGGAGCAGCTCCAGGGTCGAGAGATGGTGGTTGTCGGGGAGGGGCAGGCCTTGATACTCGTGTCCTCTCTGGACGCGCTCAACGAGAAGACCACGGCCGCGGACTACGACATCATCCACCCCAACCAGGACGGGAGTTACTGGCGGCGGTGGCAGCGAAACAAGCTCGTGCGGCAGAGGGAGAAGGAGCGGGAGAAGATCGCAGCGGATTGGCTCAAGCAAAATTTCAAGTAGATCTGGTTTCAGCATTGAAGCTGCGTGGCGACGGGCTATTGTACCATGGTTATATTAGTAGTAGTGGAGAAGACGCGCGCGTGATGATTATGAATGAAGGGATGCAAGTAAAAACCGCACTGTGTTTCACAACTATATTCGAACATTTTTTTTCATTATATCCCTCATTGTCGGACTTTACATGGCACCAACGAAACTGGCCCGGTCAGGTGCGTGCGCCTGGCGCACTCCCTGATCTAATTCTTTCTTACCCCCCTCCGCCAGGGGTGCCGCCCTACCACCAGCACCGTTGCTCTCGCCCTCAGGAAATGCCCACTTGCTGGTAATCTTGCGCTTGTTCGTCATGAACTCCAAGCAGCCTTCGCCCGTGATGTCCACCATGCTCCCGTACTTGCTGCGCGTCCCGAAGAGTCCCCCGAAAGAGAAAGGTTCCCGAGGTACGGGCACGCCCACGTTGACACCGATCATGCCGGCCCTGAACCTCGTCTCGAAGAACTGAGCATGTGCACCCACAGTAGTGTAGACGCAGGCGGCATTTCCGTGCGGATTCGAGGCCTCGATGGCCAGCGCCTCCTCCCAGGTGGCCACGCGGATCACAGAGAGGACAGGACCGAATATTTCCTCCCGCATAGCCTCGTCGTCCGCGCGCGTGTGGAGGAGAATGGTCGGGCCCACCCAGGTCCCTGCCTTCGCCGCCTGAGCCCAACCACGCCCGTCCAGCAAGAGTGTGACTCCTTGTTTCTCTGCCTCGTCGATGTAGCGGAGAATGCGCTCCTGGGATATAGCATCGATGATCGCTCCCACTTGCCCCGGCTCCACGCCCGGCGTCAGGGCCCCTGCCTTGCGGATGACGGCCTCCAGGAGGGAGGCCTGTTCTCCGATCAGGATCAGGACGGTGGCCGCCTGCCGGGGGAGAGAAATGGATCAATCGGTCAAAATTTCAGGGAGGGGTCAAAGGGTTCAGAGCTGGAGAGAAAGCAAGGGGAAGGCCGCGTCGTTCGAGCCGTCGCCACAAAACAGAGGAGGGGCAACACTGACCATGCACCTTTGACCGGCACAGCCGGCGAAGCTCGCCACAATGTCACTGGAAGCGCTTTCCACGTGGCAGTCCGGCAGGGCGACGAGGTGGTTCTTGGCCCCGCCCATGGCCAGCACCCGCTTGTTGAGCCGACTCGCCCGCTCCGCCACCACCTCGGCCACGCGGGAGGAGCCAACGAAGGTGACCCCGCGAACCAAGGGGTGGTCGATCAAGGCATTGACTGCCTCCACCTGTCCGTTCACGGTCTGAAAGACGCCGGGCGGGACGCCGGCCTCGTGGAGAAGGGCGGCGACACGGTGCATGGTCAGGGGGACCTTCTCGGAGGGCTTCAGAATCAGGCAGTTCCCCGCGGTTAGGGCGATGGGGATGGTCCACATCGGGCACATGATCGGGAAGTTGAGAGGACAGACGCTCACAACCACGCCGATGGCCTCACGCATGTCGCAACAGGTCACACCGCGCGAAACCTGAAGCAATTTCCCTTGCGCCATCTGGGGTA